ACTGAAACCCAATGATCCAAGAACAGCAATGGGAATAAGTGTTTGTCACTCTCAGCTAACAAGCACTCAGTGTTATAATTTCCAGCAAGAGAGCTGTGCTCTAATATTATTGAGTTCTTCTTCCCATGCTGCACATACATGGAGGAGTTAGCCAGTAACTACTTGTATGCTTCTCTGTATATCAGCAGCAATTCACCAAGTCAAAAACAAGCAACTGGGATTTTCCAGTATTTGTAATCCAGATATTTGATTCTGCTCAGTTTTCACATGTACCTTCCATCAGCAATTCTCTCTTAGGAAGAGCAGCTCAGAGGCTGGAGAGCTGTGTTTTCTTTCTGCAATTGTCATATCATAAAGAAAACATTCTTTCACTAGTTAAAACAGCCACTTCCGTGTGGTCATACTGCTCCCAACCAACCTCTTGAGCATGTGTGTGATTAAGTTATGTGGTAAGATGTCTAAAGTTCTGGAATAGGAGATTACACTCATCTGTCCCACGATTTTTAGTGCCTTATGTACAATCAGAAGCCAGCTGGCCTGATAGCATCATTTTCTAGAGCCTATGGGAAATAATTAATTTGAAAGAAATGTAGGGTGGGTACATCATGCAGCAGATCATGCAGATGTGCCACTGTACTTCAGAGTAGTCTTTGGGAAAGCTACAAAAGCATTGAAGTTTCTTCAATGTAAAAAGGCTAAAGTAGCATTTTCTTTATTGCTTGCTTACAGGCATAGACTCATCTGAAAATCTGCTGAAAAGGTATGGTATCACAGAGAAGTCACAGAGAGAGAGAGTGACTCCAGTCTCTCAAATCACTGAACTGAAGCAGAAAAAGCCCAGAAGAAAAGATACACCTGCAATACACATCCCACCTTTGATAATAGGTAAGAAACTTAGGTAAAGGCTCTCCTAACAGGCAGCAAAAAGTGGCTAGTGTCAGAGATATACTTAGAAGGCTGAAAGGAGGTTGCTCTCTGCTTTAGTATACTTAGCAGTTCTTGAACTGGACCTATTTCATCTAAGTATATAATAATAGTGGGGGGCCCATGGAAAGCCTAATACCTATCCCATGTTCAAGCTCTGGGGATAGAAAGAAGAGGTAAAAAGAAAAGGCATTTGGTCACTTGAGTATCTCTTGCAAACTGCAATCCTACTTTTCTGAAAAGCCAACTACTCCCCTGTTTTTCAAACCTAAGCACATAGAAATGTTTAGGTCACTAGCACTAAAATGCCTCCAACAACCTGGAGCAAAGCTGTACTGATTAATCCCCTCTTCGTTCTGCAGTCTCTGACATGCACTGAGGAAGCCAAGTGGTGATGAACTTCTCATTAGCAGCACCTTAAAGATAATTCTGTGCTTCTGGAATGACATGCAGTAGACACCACATTACATGCCAATGAAGGGAAGGGAAGGGAAGGGAAGGGAAGGGAAGGGAAGGGAAGGGAAGGGATAATTCCAATAGACCTAACCTGCTTTTTCGGTAAACTTAGGAGTAAGAGTTCAGGAATGTATGATAAATAAAACTGCACCACGCTTTATGAACATATTCCCTCTCATTTAAATTAAGAAGTGATGAAGGAAAAGTATATTTATGTAATTCTGATTACCTAGTTATAGCATACAAACCAGGCTTTTTAGAGCAGATACAAGAGACAGCTTAAATGTGAGACCCAAACAGAGGTCCCCAGCTCTTAAGAGGGATCCATATTAGTAGTGTTTCTGATGTTTACCACAATCAATAGCAAGATCATTACTAATAAATCACTTTGCTAACTGATGAACTCCAGAGGTTCCCAGCAGAGTTCAGGATTCAAAGCTCAGAGGGATGCAGCCCAGAGATGCATGTTATAAACTTTCCATAGACCATCAGCAATTTCAAGGACAAATCAGCATTTTAATGCAAAACAATGGAAAGGTAATACAAACGGGAAGTCAAAATAGTGATTTGTATAACACTAGGAAAATATTTTTTTCTTTGATATGATGCCTCTGATCACTTGTGAAGAAAATGTGCTTTACTGAATGCAGTTTGGAAGTTCTGGGTTTCAAGGAGTGAGAACCATGTTTGATTTGGGAAACATTTGTAAGTTAGTCTTTCTCTGCTGTTTTAAAAAGCCACTTAGCCTCCCTACCTCTGTTTTCCTAGCTGTGTGTTTTATGAAATGCAACTCATCCTGCAGATCTATTTTAAGGATTGTTAGATTGTTCTGTTAATATCTGCCAAGGGATCTGGCTAAAGAAAACAGAGGGTAAATATACAATGTAACCATAATTTCCCAACAAAACTTGCAAGTACTTGCAATTTTTAGGTACACTCTAGAACCACAAGGGCTCACAGAAACATGAGTGTTTCTGTTAGAAAGCTAAAAACTAGACAGAAAAGCTTGTCTTAAATAATGCATTTGTCAGGTGCCACCTAGATTTAAGCCATACCTCTTGGGCTACGACAACTCCTGCAGCTGAGTTGGGAGAGGGAAGAGGTGAATGGTTAATTCGATTCTTCTCACCCCGAGGTTTTCAATAGGGGTGTGGTATTTTTCTAAAGGAGCTGCCTTAACTGATTTTCTAGGCTATGAGAGAGAATGAGGATTTGAAACTAATTTTACAAGTTATCTCTCATTTGATTAGGAAACCTCAGACACATTTCAGGAACTACATTCCCATATTTGCACATGTGTTTACATTCTAGCTCAAACCCACAGACCTGAAGATCATTAATTTAGTTAATGGACTATATAATTCTAAATGGGGATGGCAACAGAATGTTCCAGAGCTGACTACAGGCTAGGATCAGATTAAAGCCATTTACTGTCAAGTGATATGGAAAAAATGACCATTAGAAATCTGACTATATTTTGTCTTCTGGTCTAATTCCTTCAGAAAGACAAGGTGTTGGCTGACTGAAGGAGAACTTGCTACTGAAGGAGAAATCTGCTCATGACTCATTTGTATGGACATGGCATAACATTAACTGTGCCACTTCAGTAGAAGTTTGAAGGCTGAATGCATTTAGAAGCCTGACCCTTGTAGAAGAGATTTCAGATAACTAACTTAGTAGGCCCCTTCTTTAACTGCATTTCCCAATAGGATTGGGTGCTCCCAAGGTGTAAAACTGATTCTGCTTCTCATCTGGACCACATGCCACCCAGTAGATACATTAATTTTCTTCATTTTACATGGTACATTTGACTTGCTTTTATTTGTGACAGAAAATCTCTCAGACCACACAAAACAGAGAGGGGCTGTCCTAGGAGTGCTGGTCAAAACAAAGAGGAATAACACATCTGCCATTTTAGCTGCATTTACAACAAAGTATTTGTGTGGACAGCTGTTCAAGAGAATATTCTATTAATAAAACCTTTTAGTAGAATTAAGTGGAATTTCTTGCATTGGTATCTAGAAGTGGTTTGCAGGGGATCTGAAGGAGAAATATTAGAAATGGTGGCAATGCTCATTAGGATCAGTAACACATACAAGATCATACAATTACTAAACACTACAACACTGAACTGTCATCCCAGAGTCTGCGACAGCTGATAAACCTTAAAACAACAGAAAACTGGAGAAATCATGTCCGGATTCATGTTTCTCCAAACTCCCTCTGAAAATAGGCTCAGCTGTCATAGATGGTCAAATTGCCAAGTCAAAAAGACTTGAATACTTTTTGATGCACAATGGAAAGGTAATACAAACGGGAAGTCAAAATAGTGATTTGTATAACACTAGGAAAATATTTTTTTCTTTGATATGATGCCTCTGATCACTTGTGAAGAAAATGTGCTTTACTGAATGCAGTTTGGAAGTTCTGGGTTTCAAGGAGTGAGAACCATGTTTGATTTGGGAAACATTTGTAAGTTAGTCTTTCTCTGCTGTTTTAAAAAGCCACTTAGCCTCCCTACCTCTGTTTTCCTAGCTGTGTGTTTTATGAAATGCAACTCATCCTGCAGATCTATTTTAAGGATTGTTAGATTGTTCTGTTAATATCTGCCAAGGGATCTGGCTAAAGAAAACAGAGGGTAAATATACAATGTAACCATAATTTCCCAACAAAACTTGCAAGTACTTGCAATTTTTAGGTACACTCTAGAACCACAAGGGCTCACAGAAACATGAGTGTTTCTGTTAGAAAGCTAAAAACTAGACAGAAAAGCTTGTCTTAAATAATGCATTTGTCAGGTGCCACCTAGATTTAAGCCATACCTCTTGGGCTACGACAACTCCTGCAGCTGAGTTGGGAGAGGGAAGAGGTGAATGGTTAATTCGATTCTTCTCACCCCGAGGTTTTCAATAGGGGTGTGGTATTTTTCTAAAGGAGCTGCCTTAACTGATTTTCTAGGCTATGAGAGAGAATGAGGATTTGAAACTAATTTTACAAGTTATCTCTCATTTGATTAGGAAACCTCAGACACATTTCAGGAACTACATTCCCATATTTGCACATGTGTTTACATTCTAGCTCAAACCCACAGACCTGAAGATCATTAATTTAGTTAATGGACTATATAATTCTAAATGGGGATGGCAACAGAATGTTCCAGAGCTGACTACAGGCTAGGATCAGATTAAAGCCATTTACTGTCAAGTGATATGGAAAAAATGACCATTAGAAATCTGACTATATTTTGTCTTCTGGTCTAATTCCTTCAGAAAGACAAGGTGTTGGCTGACTGAAGGAGAACTTGCTACTGAAGGAGAAATCTGCTCATGACTCATTTGTATGGACATGGCATAACATTAACTGTGCCACTTCAGTAGAAGTTTGAAGGCTGAATGCATTTAGAAGCCTGACCCTTGTAGAAGAGATTTCAGATAACTAACTTAGTAGGCCCCTTCTTTAACTGCATTTCCCAATAGGATTGGGTGCTCCCAAGGTGTAAAACTGATTCTGCTTCTCATCTGGACCACATGCCACCCAGTAGATACATTAATTTTCTTCATTTTACATGGTACATTTGACTTGCTTTTATTTGTGACAGAAAATCTCTCAGACCACACAAAACAGAGAGGGGCTGTCCTAGGAGTGCTGGTCAAAACAAAGAGGAATAACACATCTGCCATTTTAGCTGCATTTACAACAAAGTATTTGTGTGGACAGCTGTTCAAGAGAATATTCTATTAATAAAACCTTTTAGTAGAATTAAGTGGAATTTCTTGCATTGGTATCTAGAAGTGGTTTGCAGGGGATCTGAAGGAGAAATATTAGAAATGGTGGCAATGCTCATTAGGATCAGTAACACATACAAGATCATACAATTACTAAACACTACAACACTGAACTGTCATCCCAGAGTCTGCGACAGCTGATAAACCTTAAAACAACAGAAAACTGGAGAAATCATGTCCGGATTCATGTTTCTCCAAACTCCCTCTGAAAATAGGCTCAGCTGTCATAGATGGTCAAATTGCCAAGTCAAAAAGACTTGAATACTTTTTGATGCAGAAGACATCTGAGTTGATCACCAATCACTCCATCCAAACAGAGTTAGAGCTTGGCCAGAGCCCGAAGTCTAATTGCTGGGTATCACTTAACACATTTTTAAAACAAGACTCTAAAAAACAACAGTTATAAACAAGAAACCTTAGGGTTACAAACCAATCAAACCAGCAAATAACTGAATCCTTACGAAGTTTCTGTCAAGACAGAGATTCTTCAAACACAACAAACGTCTTGAATTCTCTGCTGGAGTACTTCTGTAATAATAATAAAAAGGAACCACAAGACTGGCAATCTGGATAAAAAACCCCCAGAAACATATGAGTAGTTAGGAAATAAAGAAGAACGGGATCCTGAAGAGACACGTGTCTTGCAGATAATCACACAAAGAGATAGCAAAACACAATAAAAGCCAGCTGCAAACACCACAAAAACACCCCAACAACAATTCTCATCACAAAAATCTGAAGACTCATACAACAAAATCAACTAATCAACAAGAAGTGCTTGAGGGATTAAGACAACCTTCCCAAAGCATTCATCCAACATTAACAACAATCACCATCTATCAGCATTATTTATAAAAATTAAAAATAACAAAGGTTATAAACTCAATACTAACAATGCTTTAAACTTTTAATCATTGGGGAATCAACTGATGACACCACAACAGGATCTGATTGACATTTCCCAAATGTTCTGTCTTCCAAGACACCTTGGCTAATTAAATCATTACTAATACTTTCATCTTTACATGATGGTTTCCCTCCCTGGGAGGCATTTTTCATAAGATTTCTGTCTATATCATATTTAGAATAACATTGACTCGCATAGGGTTCCCCTTTTTCCTGCATCTTGTGCAAAGACTTGGTGCTTTCTCACTTTTCTGATGAAGATTCTGTGGAACTGGCCTGTGGAAGAGTTGGGTGAAGTGCCCCATATAACATCTGCTGCATTTTCTGTGGAGTTGCCCTGTTAAAAAACTGGATAAAGCGCTGTGAGAGTTCTCAGTTTTCCATCTTGCCCTTGAAGGAGTTTCCTGACGTGCTTTTTTTTTTCCCAAACGCCAGCTTGGAGTGCTGCGATGTGCTGGTTGCTGTGGTTCCCTGGCAACTGTGACAGGGTGGTGCCTTGAGGAATGTCTGACCACGTCCCGTCTCCGCCTGCTCTGGGGCAGCCTCATCCTGCGTCATCTCGGGGATGGGGAAAGGACCGTTCTCGCCCTAGCCGCACCCCGCTTTCACCGGCTTTGAAGCAGCCGCGCCCTTGGGAACGCCCCCCTCCTCCCCGGGACCACCCGCGCTGCCCGGGTCCCATTCGGGATCCACCTTGCCCGGACCCGCGCAGCCCCGATCTCAACTGGGGACCGCTCCCCTGGCTCCGCGCCAACATCCGCACCCGGCGGGACCATCTCCCACACCGCCGGTGCCCCTACCGCGCTGGCGAAAGGGGAAAAAGCCTTTCTCGCTCTGGCTTCCGGGTTTTGCGTCATCAACGCGCGTCCGTTGTGTCCCGCCGCCGCGGTCTGCGCTCCGCTCCGCTCGGTCCGCTCCGCTCGGCCCTGCCCGCACAGCTGCCCAGCATTCCCCGGACGGCTGGGCGCTGCCCGCCGCCACCTCGCCGCCCCCACGGCCCCTCGCGGCGCTGCCGCTTTTGCTGCTGCCCTGAGCCACCGCTTGCAGCCGTCCCAGGCTGTCCGGTGCCGCCGTCACCATCGCGGCACACCCAGGCGCCCCTGCGGCCGCTGCGCGCCACCCGGGCTTGCTGACTGCCTGTTACTGCCTCGGCATGGTCGAAATGCAGCTCCCCCTCGGGCCCCGCGACTTCCTCCACCCCCCGCCCCGATGGGTCCGCCGTCGCGTCCATGGCTTCTGTCGCCCTCGTGCCCCCGCCGCTGCCTTCGCTGCCGCCCCTGGCTGCTGTATGCTGCCCAGCGCCGCTGCGAGAGGCTGCCCCCCGTATCCTTCTGGCCCTGTGATCTCGGCACCCTCTCCCGTCAGTCCCTCCGCCGCCGCCCCCGCCGTGAGTGTACTTAGTATGGGACTACAAGCCTGTTCATGGGCGAGATCCCACTTTTCCTCCTCCCCGAGGGAACTGGCTAGTTTCGACTTTCCTGGGACTGGTTGAGGGATGTCTGCATCAGAGGACCCTGGAGATTCTGGGTGTTCTGGGGATTCTGAGGACTCAAGGGACCCCTGGGACCCTGGACGTGATGGTAAATAGTCCTGTTAATTTTCAGTGGGAGGCATTCCTGCTTCCCCTGGATCCGTGGTAGAGAGAATTGCCTCCTGCTGATCACAGGGCAATTTCCCTCCCTCGGCTCCCGTAGGGAGTCTGGGCTGCCTGCTGTTGGCAAGGCGGTGAGTCATTACTACTGCCTGCTGATGGCAGGTAGCCCCCGCGGCATTCTGCGAAATCGTTTCCAGCATTGTTCCCGCTGGAGCCAAAAGTCTTAAGGCCTTAGTATCTTTCCCTGTTGCTAAATGATAAAGGTGTCCGTTAATCTCCCTGAGATGTTCCTGGGAATAAGCTTCCCCAGTGTTCTCAGTGTTCTAAATTTTGACCTTTCTAACCAAAAGCTGAAGCACTGCGAGGTCGGTCCAGAGGTTGTCCTGGTCCCTGGCCAGCAGATCACAGATGAGGATTCCTAGGTGCCTTGGTCTTCCTCTCATCCAGGCCGTGCTCAAGGTGATTTATTTCAGCAAGGGTCAGGTTGTTCTTCCCTGGATTTTTCTCTCTGGTGGTGTGACTCTTCCTGGGTTGGAATTCAGCGTCTGGTGGCTTGGCTGCTTGCCAACAGCCCACCTCTGAGCTTCGCCCACCCAGGGACACCAGATCTCGGGTTCCCTCCCTGGTCGAGATGATCCCGAGGTGTGTCAAAAGTCTTTTTCTCCAACCCAGCTGTCCAAGAGGAAATCAGAAGTCTTCGGCTGTCGTTCTCAAGGTTGTTTATTATTTCTTATCTAAAACATTTTCTGTCTGGCCTGCCAAGGTCTGTTCTGCAGGTTGGTCTGAGGCACACTCCGCCCGCCCCCCGGCTGGTGTTGCTTTTATGCTACAAACTACATACTTGATATTTACAGTTATTTTCCAATACCTATCACCTATGTTAGACAGTTAGACAGACTTTCTAGTCTAAACCAATCCCAAAGTGCTAGCACCACCAAGAAGATGGAGGCTAGAAAGAAGGAAGAAGGACAGGACAACACCTAAATCCCTCCATTTGTCCCCCTAGGCCCCCATAGTAAAATTCTTCAAAATTTCACCTTTCACCCTGTGACAATTACTATTATACTATTTAAACTTTTGTGACTTGTAATTCTTCATATAAGGTTGGTAATTTGTTCCATGGGTTAAGATCGAATTCCCAGGTGTCTTTGGCTTCCTGCCAGGGTCTCCAAGCCCCTGCCAGGGCTTTGAGCCATCCAGGGCATCCAGAAGGTTCTGACACATTAGTGCATAGCTCTAAACTGCATGTAATTAACTGTCTTCACATTTTAGTTAGACAAAAGAATCCCTCTGGGCCTGTGATCCAAGGACACACCACAGCCTCAGGCCCCAAAAAGTATAAACAAAAGTGAATTGGGAAGGAGCAAGCTGAGGGTATATGGCTTCATTACCTGAAGCTTTAATTGGAGAATTAACCCCTGATATGCAAACAGACAAAACTTCTATATGCCTGAAAAACCTGTGACCACGAGGCTTTTACACTGCCCAAGGCCTGTTGAAGGCCTTTAAAAAATACCCACTTTATTCTGTTAACTCTGTCTAGCCCTCTGTTCTAGGTAGCCACTCCAAGGCATCAATACCATGTAGCACTGAGTGCTGCTTACTTCAGTAAGGCTAATAAGAAGGAAACAGGACAGAAAGGTTTGTCTATATTTACTTAGCTCACATAATTCTGCGAGGTCTTCTCAGGTCTCCAAGTCTATAATTCAGGTTCTGTTTTGCACAGCAGTTCCAGAAAAGCTTAGTTTCTTTGTGTGTGCTACCAGATGGAATATATCTGAAAGTAAATAAGTAGCAAATATTGGGCCAGCCTTCAACCAAAGGCTTTTCATAGCAAATCATGGAGCCATCACTGCTGAACTTCGACTGGCAGAATGATGTACGTTGGCTGTATCTTGAAAATTAAATATGCATCCTTAGAATAGGAAGGGAATGAAATTCAGGCATTTAAATACATAGGTTATTTTGCCTGATACAGGCACCAGTCTGCCACAGGCAGTTAATCACTTGAAAACAGATCCAGAATACAGGATCTAAAAAGCTCTGTACAGAGAGGCAACATTTTAGCAGGCTGCTTTGATTCCATGCCAAGTGTTCAGAGGTGGCTTCAACAGTAGGCAACAAAGTGTCATAGAGGTATAACTGAAAACAACTGAAATTGCATTAGTTTTTGTCATTCTCTAAATAGCAAATGCACATAGATTGAATTTCATCTTAATGTACATTTTAAGCACATATTAGTTATGTTTTCCCTGTCCCTCAAACGGCCCAGGATGTAAAAATCAACAAAAAATAACCCCCACTCCCCTTTGCAGCACACACAACCCACACCTCAAAGGCGTCAGGAAAAAAACCCTTGACTATCTTTGCCTAGGTTGCCTATAGGGATAGAAGTCTGTGTGAGGAATATTTACATCCATCTCCATAAAATGGCATAATTCTTTGCAATTAACAACAAGAGTTACTTAATTGCTCCTTGAACAAATGAAGTCCTTTGTGTTTCAAATTAACTGAAAGGCATATTAATTTATGCCTTTCAGTTTATCTCATAGTGCTTTTGCAACCAGCTAGTTCACAAGAACTGCATATAAATGAAGCAGGAGCTAACTTGAAGGGCAGCATAGGTAAATATTTTGTACCTAATGCATTGTTCTCACATCACTCTTACTTATTTTTTAATGAGGAAAGCAGTTACAATATTTGTTATACCTTGGTATAATATAAAAGCCTCCAGATCCTCAAAGGACAGACTTACTGGTTTAACAGAGAAAATGAGAAAGAGAGACACAGAGAAAGGAAAAGTGACAGATTTGTGGGAGGTATGATCTACAATCCAAGTCTATTTTCACATTATTCATCATTCAGTAGCTTTTGCAATTTATTGATGCCATATCTTTTCAGTGGAGATGGCACTTGTCATGTGGGTATTTAAACATGTCTCTTGTTTCACCTGCACTTGCCAAATCTAAGTAATATGCTATATACATAGAGAAAACATACTTGTCCATAAAAGCTGTTTCTGTTACAAAGATTAATTACAGTATTTGCTTCATCATGCAAGCTCTTTCCCTTATTTAGCTACCCAAACCCTTCTAACAAACAGGCTCCCACATGAAATTTCAGTCTCTTTTTACAGGTAGCAAAAATATACTGGATTTAAGAACACTTAATAATTTTAGCTAAAAATGCAGTGATTCAACTCTAGTTCAATAAGTATTAAGAGACTGAAATGCCAACAAGAAATGAGTAATTCACATGATGTTGGAAAATGACATTAAAATCAAGAAATCAAAAAGAGAGAACTGAAAAATTCTCTTTTGCCTGATATTTTCTAGAAAGTAGTATATTAAATCAACTCACTTTTCCACCTTTTTTTTGTTTGTTGTTTGTTTTTTGTTTGTTGTTTGTTTGTTTTTTGCGTTCTTCTCTTTTTAAGGCACTAAGCTGTTTACAGAAGAAGAACAAACAGTGATTATGGAAGATGAAGAAAAAGATGGAGACATAATCCACGGTTAGATTACAGTGGTATTTCAATAATACAGTGTAAATAATAATGGGTCATTCAAAGTGGCAGCACATTAAAAAATATCTTTCACATTTGTAAATAATTTTCTCAGTTGTACGCTTGAATTTAAACTACCATCAAGTGCTTATCTGCATCTAGTAATTCCTAGCAAGCATCATTGGACATGAATGGCAGAAATTTCAGTTACACAGGGTTTGAAGGATTCTGTCAGTTTACTACAAGTGGCTTCCTAGCATTTTTGTCAATGAGGAATCCAATTCAGATCAGATCTGGTTTTGTGGAGTGTGGTGCTCATACAGTACCTGGCACTGGAAGTGGTAATGCAGAGTAGTAAAACACCAGCTAGTGATTCAAATTGCTTTTTTTGCCTGACACTTGACCTCATTTGTCCAGTTTTCCTTTCCTGGAATAACACTGACCACAGTGAAAATTCCCATGTGCAGAGCTGATGGGATAGATGAAGAAGGTGAGAGGACCAGGATTCAATTCTAGAGTCTCTGAAATGCAAAGCAAAAATTTCCTCTGCCTGGATCTGCTCATGACTTTTGTCTGTAAGGAGGAAAAGATAAATTTACTTTAGAATTAAAATTACACCTAAGGGCTCTCAGCCTTGACAGATGCATCAAATAGGATGGAGGGCAGAGATCTCAGAGGACAAACACTAGGGAAGTGCAATGCCTGCAGGTAATTGTCTCCACTGGCTTGGTGAAAGATAAAATTGTTGGATAGTTGATCCTTTTGCTCAAAATAATTTCTTTTCACATCTGCTTTTTAAATTGAATTCTAGGTAATCAGTTAGGAGAGGCTGTAAAGATTCAAAATCACAGCAGGAAAGTAAAACTTGAATAAAAGGAATAATGTTACTCAATGGCATATGCTTACTGCAAGGTAGAAGAGCATAGTGACTTTTTAAATAGTTTACCTCAATGATTCAAACAAGAATTGTTTTCACAGCCAGCTACAGCATTTGTAGAGAGATGGGTATTGGTAGAATATTTTACCCAAAAAAAGACAGAACTGGACTCTGTGTGCTGACCTTAATACTCTGGGATAGATGGAGTAGCACTGCCAGATGAACCCTTAGGGAATTAAGCAGAGAGGTTGAAGATTATCTAGCCTGATGGACAGAATTTAGTTATCTTTTTAAGTCACTTATACAGACAGCTGAGGACCATACTAGTTTGGACTCCATTTGCCACTCTGACTGACCCAACATCTTTCATGAAAATACAGTCCATTCACAAATATATGTGAATGTATACTCTCAAGATGTAATCAGTGAGCTTACAATAAATAATTGCATATTAAATTGCACAAGAGGTCCACTGTATGATTAATGGGATACCTCTTACTTAAAAAGTGTACATGTTTTTATCCTATTAATCTATCAGTGAGATAACATCATACTTAAAATATAAATAATCTATAGTTCAAGTAACAACATTAATATAAGATCCACAGTAAAGTGTGGAAACAGATGGGCATGCCAGCCCTCTCCCTTGGAGAGATATCCCTTGAATGGGCTATGGTATGAGCTTCTCAAAGTCTCATGGATTGAGGAATCCTCTGTGGTCATGGTGAGTTCCCAGCATGCTTTGGAACCCCATGTAGATTTGTTGGGACTGATTGGTTTTTCCCCCTTTGTACCACCCCTGCTTTTCCCCATAAAACCCCCAGTTTCTGCCTTGTTCAGGAGGGAGCTGCCATCACTAGCATCCTTTGCAAGTTGCTGGAATAAAGGCTACCTCTGTGGAACAACCACACAGTGCTCCTGTGTCTTTGTCCCTGTGTTGGCCAGGGTATACCTCACAAGGCAGAGCTGAAATCACTAAGAGCTGAAATCACTGCTAAGAGCTGAGGTGAGCTGCCTGCCCCTTGCTGAGGTTACCCGACAGTGAAGGACTGCCTAAGACTCCTAGAAAGCTCTCTCTTGCGGGACCTCCCTCTGGGAAGGCTGCAGCGTCCAGGTCAAGCCATCAGACCCCCAACTGCCTCTACAGCAAAGTACGTCACAACAAGTACATAACAAGAATATGACTCAGGTCTACCTTTGCCAGTGAAGTTGGTGAATATTTTCAGTGCATGTGTAGTGAGTTGACCTTGGCTAGATGCCAGATACCCACCAGGCTGCTCTATCACTCCCCTTTACAGCAGGACAATGGAGAGAAAATAAGATGGAAAACAACTAGTAAGTTGAGATAAGGCAGTTTAAAAAGCAAGGAAAAAAAAAAGAAAAGCAAAAGTTTACACATACATAAGCAAAAGAGAAAACAATTAATATCTACTTCCCATCAGCAAGCAATATTCAGCCATTTCCCAGGAAGCAGGGTTTCAGGACACACTTCTGGAATGGTTGTTCCAGAAGGCAAAAGTGGTAACATAACAAATGTCCCCATTCCTCCTCTCTCCCATAGCTTTCATATCTGAGCTGATATCGTATGGTATGGAATATCCCTTTGGTTTATTTGAGTCAGCTATTTTGGCATAGTTGTGTCCCCTATCAGGATCATGCTCACTCCCAGTCCCTTGACAGGAGCCATGGGAGAGAATGTTAGAGACAGTGCCAACACTGTGCCAGTGCTGCTCAGCAGTAGCAATACCACTGGTGTGTTACCAGTACCTATCCAGCTACCGATGCAAAGCACAGCACTGTGAGGGCTGCTGAGGGAAAACGAACTCTATTTCTGTCAGCCCCAATACCATTTCCACCCCTTATTCCATACCATTTGCATCCTACTCAGATCACACGTAATTTATATATCTTCCAGCTCTTCCATTATATTTCTCATTACTGGAATCCCTTTTTACCCACACTTACAACTTAACTACATCCTTAAACTATCTCTATATCCAATATACACTTTCATTAACTACTACCCCTGTCCTTTCACAGATTGATATTACTTTCCCTTTTCATGGGCTTCCTCCATCTCTCCAGATCCATCACTTGGGCTCCATTCAATCAGGATGGGTAGTCAAGACAGGAGAAGAAGCATACTTGATCACTGCACATCAAGACTGACCTGGCTTGAGTCATCATTGCATCCTCCTTGCCCTTCACAAAATTAATTCTTCATCAGTTCAAGTCATTCCTGCTACTTTATTTCCTGCAACACATAAATTTATGCCACAGATTATTTTTCCCACAAGGTTAAATTTCCTTGAGTCACATAGCAGGTCTCCCAACTCTTCCACACTACCTACCAAATACACCCTGGTCCTTGGGCAAAAACAATCCCACAAATGGGTTTGCCTTTCTTCATGAAAGGAGAAATCCACACCAGCTTCCCTGGCCATGAAGCCCCAGTCATGAAGAAAGAAACAGAGTTAGCTATCTGGCCTCCATCTGGGGCTTCCCTTCTGTCTGACTGAGGCAGGATAGAACCAATCTCTTTGGCTGCCCCTAAAAGCTGGGCTGCTTGTTCGTAGGTATGTGAAAGTATGCAGAGTTTCTGCTGCATTTCAGACCAAGAAGATTCAATTTCTACAGCTGATATATGCATTTGCAGGTAATACTATGATATGAAGCTGCTGGAATATGATGCAGGGGCTCTTTGAACCACCTTCCTCCACATGGCCATTGTGCAAGGGACATCCTGTGGATCTTTAAGGACTTTATCCTTTTTTAGATTTCTATAGATGACTTCCAGCACTGCTAATTCTCTGATACTGGATAACTTCAGCTGTGGTGGTCCACTTTCCTGAGGAATTTATTCCCAAGAACTGGATCTCCTGTGCAGTTCCCTTCACTTTGTTTTATGGCAAGACCAGCTTTCAGAAGGATTTGGATTTTTTATTCTTTCCTTTTTCAGAAACTTCTGCTGTATTGCCCCACACAAATATATCATCAAGACATTGCAGGTGTTCTGGAGCTCTGCTCTGTTCGATATCAAATAGTGGGGCTTCCATAAATGATCTTAAAAGATCTTCCTTAAATTAATATCTTGCCCTCACGCTTGAGAGGAGCTGTCTACAGAGGCTGCAAATTGCTCGTTCTTTTCCAATTCTTCTTTCAACTTCCCAATCTCTAGCAAGGGATCCCAGCTGTTGGACTTCATGACCTTCTAATTGCTGACCCTTGGCTCCATTATCCAAGCATCGAAGAAATCCATTCATCTGGCTGGTGATTGTAGTCTTTTCTCAAATCTCAAAGTTCTGATGAGGTCAGAGTAACTTGGGTTTCCTGTTTGATTTGCCTCACTCCTTTCAATTTCTGTGTTGAACGTCCTGCTATTGAAGGACCTGCTTCTTCCATTTAACCCCTCCTCTCCTATTTTTTCTTCTTCTTCCTCTTCTTCCTCTTCTTCTTCCTTCTTCTTCCTCTTCCTCTTCTTCCTCCTCCCTTACTAATCGATGGTATGAGCCTGTTACTCACCTTGTCAATTTTTTTTCATTACTGGGATAATTACTTTAGTTACTGTGGTTTGAGTCTGTCTCAGTTATAGTGTCCTCAAATGCAGTTTGGGTTCCTGCCACAACTACAGTCCTCTGAGAGTACAGAACTGTGGTTCAGTAGGCACAGGCCAGGCCCCAGTACAGGGTGAGAAGCTGCTAGTGTTCATTGGAGTAGGGAAGACACCTTTCTATCAGTTGATTGGCCAGCTTGTCAGGGTTGATCACCTGTTCAGGTGTAAAGCCCTAGGTGATGGTAGGTGATAATTGCCCTAGAAACATGCCCAAATCCTTCCATGCACCCTGCCACTCAGAAACTGAATGCCTCAGTGCAATTTCAATATCTCCTCACAAAATTTGTTTTCTCTTACATCAGGATGGCACCAGATTCCATAAACTCCATAGTGAACCAGCAGTATTAGTTGATATTATTAACAGTGTTAAACAGCTTACATAAGGATGAGCAAAGACTGTGGAAGACTGCATTATAAAAGCATTCAAATCAGTCTTGGGTAGGGAGAAGGAGGTGTATTCCTTCATCATCCACAGAAGATAACTCCCCCAGCGTAACAAGGTCATCAGTGTAAAGGAAAAGCACACAGCCACTGTTTGTATTAACATGTTCTCAAACTCAAAAGAGAGATAAGCAATGCAGCTGACAAACTCCATGTTCCACAAAGAAGCTTGCTACTTGATAAATACTATTTATAAATATGTATATTTATATATTACTGCTTTTGTCTCACAGCACACACTGGATACCAAAAAGATTGTAGTGGTTTGACCTCGGCCACTTCCTGAGAAGCAGGGTTTCAGCACACACTTCTGGAGCAGTTGCTTCAAAAGGCAAAAGTGATAACATAGCAAATGTCCCCAATTCTAGCTGAATCTCTTTAATAAAGGCATTAAAAATGAGAAAGATCTCCTGCCCATTTATTTCACATATGGTATGGAATATCCCTTTGGTTTATTTGAGTCAGCTATTTTGGCATAGTTGTGTCCCCTACTAGGATCTTGCTCACTCCCAGTCCCTTGATAAGGTACCATGGGAGAGAACAGTCCTGCTCTGCAACACCTTTCTGGCTACCAATGCAAAGCACAGCACTGTGAGGGATGCTAAGGGAAAATGAACTCTATCTCAGCCAGACCCAATACAGCACAATAAGCAAGAGTGAAATGTGGAGTCCTGAAAATATTCAAATTAACATCAGCAATGGATTAGCCATGAAATCAACATGTTTAGGCATGAAGGGTCTTAACAACAAAGCATGAAAACATGTGACTGACTTTACTGATCTGAAATTTCCAAGCCTGGGAAATGCTGACACAGTTTAATGGGAAATTAAAAAAAAACAAAAAAAACCCCAACAACAACAACAACAAAAACAACAAACAAAACAAAAAAAACCACCAAAAAACAACCTCCTTTAAGCCTAGCACTGTATATTGCTTGGCAAAGAGGAGTTACAGTCTGAGTGACATCTCTAATGGCACAGCAGCATAATTTATCATCACTGTATTGATGAAATTGGAGCCCAGACATGAGAATGCTGCTGCTTCCTTTTAAAATGGCAATGCCAATTCAGCATTTTCTCTTTTTTTTTCCACCCAGGACCAACATGAGCAATTAAAAGTAATTTTTCACTTTATCAATTAAGTAAATAGGAGTTTTTTTAATGTTTGTAGCAAGGAGTTGTAAGGATCTGATAGTAAAAATAATGCCTCAAAAAGTGCTTCATCATTATCATTATCTCTTTGAACACCTGAATACTATGAGCAGCCCACCCTGAGGTCCATAAAAAGGATGGCAAAACCTGTGCAAACCTAGGAAGGAGGAAGAGAATGACAGAAACCCTGGCCTTTGCCTTCCTGCACGCCCCAC